CGGCTAAGGCAGAAGAAGAGCGTGAGAACAGTGAAAACACCAAAGATAGCAAGAAGCAAGAATCAGTGGATGCAAACTGTGAAGCTGCACCTAGTGAAGAGAAAGTTGAAACGTAGCATTGGTAAACATTATATATCTAATATATAATTTTGCGCCATTTTTATATTATTTTCATTGGTTGACTTTTTTTTTTTTGTATTAATTGACTGTGCATTCTGTGATAGCCATTTTTCAACCTTGCAGGTATAATGTACGTACTGCGTTCTGAGCGTATGATGTTTGTAGAAGCAGTTAGTGAGGTCTTCTGTTTCATTTTCTCTTCTACAGTGCATTACTGACTTGCTGCTAGTGTTTTCATCCCCTGATTCCAAATCCAAGTTTTATTGTATTTTATTCCTCCTTTCTGTAAGTCATTTTAAAACTGTTCTTATGTCCTGCTTTATTTTACTGCTTGCATTTTTTTTCAGACTAACTACAGTATGATGAATAGTATTATACCCCCAATGACATGGATTTTTTTAGAAATCAATATTGCTGTGACATGACAAGATGTTAAGTAGAAAATAATTTTCACTAGAAGAATATCTTTCATTTACAGTATTGAGAGAAATGTAAGGTACATTGTGGTTTGATGATTTGATGCTGGTGTAAGGCTTGAAATTAATACATGTGTGACTGTTTTATGTGTAAGTGTAATACATTGCATCACTGTCATAAGCCAGCAGTTTTGATTTCCAAGAGCCATCTTTTTATATATATCGTGTTAATGACAACCACTGAATCAAACTTGTCACTGTGTACATATACTTGGTGTGTGAGATGAGAATCTGATTGGTTTACTGTGTAAAGGAATGTATAGGGATATACTTGAATGGCTGATATTTTATTTAACCATAATGGTAATCGTAGTTGAAAGAAATACATAATACTGTTACTTAGTGTTAGTGCGTAATTTATAAATAAGATACTTTCCCCCCACCCCCAGGAAACCGAGTGGTGATTTCTTACCTTGTGCACTATTTATTTTTAACATTAATCTGAATTGCATTTAATGGTGAGCTTCGCTCAGTTCGGAAGTGTCTATGAGATAGACTGAACCAAGACATAGTATTGATACATCACACCGAGTGACTTGTATGGCAGCTATTGACTGAACTCTACAAATGAACATTATATTTGTTGCTGTAAACAAATTTACTCCTCCACCTTCTTCCCCCTCCCCCTGGTTTCACTTCCACTTGGTTCAAGGCTATAAACAATGTTTTGTATACAGTGATGGGAGGTGAGGCTTCAGTTGTATTTGGTGTCAAATATTCACCATCACAGGTGAGTAAGTGTTACAATAAAACTATAATAAATACTCTTATAGCAGTATGTTACTTCATGTGTGTTTCATGCAAATCAATTTATCCTGTCATTTACTAATTCTACTTGTTGATGAATTTAGAAGAGTCTTCAGCATGAATAGGCATAATTTGGTTTACTGGGATTGAAATTATTCATTAAAAATGTAACTCTGCTTGTGTTCATTTTTAATATTTAATTGGATCAAAGAACTAATTATAAAGGACTTTTATTTGTAAGATATTTTTGATATCTTACAAATAAAGTACTTTCATCTCTGATGAGTTAATAGAAGTGTCCAGTATTTTACAGCTCACAGGCAGTCTGTCTCTCTTATTTTATTGATTGCTTTGGCAGCTGTTTAATGCATCAAGTGGTGCTACAGAAATACATAATAGAACGTTGGTCAAGAACATATTCGTGAGATTGTTGTAATAAATAAGCAGTATTACGGTTTCAATTTATGGGTACTTTTGAGAACTTGTTTTTGTTGGTGGGAATGCTGTCTTCATCAGTTTTTTTGGCATGTTCACTCTGTACCAGTATTCCACAACCTTTTCCCACCCACAGCACACCTCATGAAAAGGGTGTATGAAATGATATATCTGCATTTAAATCCATGTCCTATAAAAATTTAGGCACATTATAATAAAACAGTACATGCTGAACAAAAGTTGATGAACCAGAGTGTGTGTATTACTGATTGTAATTATGGAAGGTGAGATATAGCCTTTTTCTGATTATAATGTGCAAATAGGCAATTTCGTATAAGTATTTGTGGCATACCTGGAACCTTGTAGAGCACTTTTCTATGTTATTGATTTTGGCTCTAGTTTGGTATGGTTTATGCAGTGAAACAGCAAAATGGTATTTATCATTTAGTAAACATTGTTTATGCCACTTACATGTGCAAACTTTTCATGCTGTGTATTGAACAGACTATTTTCAGTGATGGTGCTGAGCAGAGCAAGTAGTATTAACCCCTTATAGACACAAAGATAAACAAATTAGACAGTAAAAGTCCACACAATCTTGTTTTTATCTTACCAAAATACAAAAGGCTTATTTAACAGTGATCAGCAGTGCAGATTATATAGAATATGGAGTAGTATTCTGTGTGTATCACGTGTATTGTTATTTATTCAAGAAAATACAAAGTTTGTAAGATTTTGAGGTGTGGTGCCAGAGCAGTAAATATAAATGATGTAAAGAGCTATGAACAACAGGTTTTTCATCTTGAAGTGCATTTGGGAAAAGCACTTAACTTTTATGGTACAAATTAGTAATTGTTTTTGTGAACAAAAGACATTTTTGCAGTACTGTTACATATGAATTGCCAATAGTTCACCCTTCTATGACTCCTCTACTGAAGTATGTGTTATTATAGCTCCCTGTTTCCAGAAGTTACCAAACATTGTTAATGACTAGCAGTTGGTTCATATTGGACAGTTGCAGAAGTGGTAGATTAAAAACCATGTTTTACTAAGCAGACTGAAGATATGTGAGGTGTCAGTTTTTGCAGCAGTGAGGATGATGCTTTTGATGCAGTGTAGACTGGTCAATCCCAGTGTTTTGATGAAACATACTGCCTCTATCTTCAGGACTGATTCTACCAGAATGCAGTGTTGTTTTTTTTGTGCATGGAGTTTCACTGTGTGAGATTTAAGGTTTTATGTCCTGGGTTTTGGCAACCTGTAGGCTCTTCAGTGGATCTTAACATGTTTGAGAAATATTTGCATCAGTGAATAGTTAGTTTGCGAGTGGAAGAGACTGAGAGAGCAATTAATTCAAGTCAACTATAAAACTGTTTACAGCACAGTGTGAGGAATTGTGTGTTATTAATTAGTGAATTGCAGAAAGCCTACCCGAGTGAGACATGTGTTGTTACACGTCACAATATCGCAGAGGACATTTTCAGATTTGTAAAATTATTCTTTCTTTGGTGCGAATAAGTTGGTTGGTAGTTAACGTTGTTACCGACTGAGGTTTTGGTAGTGTCTTGTACGAGTGTTTAATACCATCAGCTGTTGCTAGATTGTACCGCGATACGGATATTTGGCGTCATACGTCAAGTGCGTTGCCAACTGGTTATATATATGCTTCTAGCCATGTCTCCGAACGTGATGTTGGTATTTGTCTATTAGTGATGTATGTGGTAGAAATGTTTGTGGTTATTGGTTTGTTGCTGGAATTGTGTTCTTGGGATGTGTTTGATACGCAAAAATCATATTTATAACTATTCCGTCAAAATGTTCATGAATTTGGTGTGTAAGAGTGTGTATGTTATTACTATCGTCAATTTTCTTTTATGCGACTCAACTCCAGCATCTTCACACATACATTCACACCATCACGAAGAGAGAGAAGAGGACGGCGGTTATAGTCCAAGAGACAAAACTCACATTGTAAATGGGCATCATCACTCAGAATTTGATCATGAATCAATATTAGGTGTGCACCGCAATGGTTTTCTTTTTATTCTAAAGGGCTATAACGTTGACTGTTGTTTTGAAAATTTCTGAACACAATCGCTGGCCGGGCTGTCGAGCATTTTGACAGATGTTCTCATTTAATTCATCCCATTGCCGGGCATTAAATCAGTCATGACCACTTGCACCCTTTTGGATATTTCATGATCCTATAACATAGCAACATAAAAGTCAGTCAGTAACAAATCATTATGATCTAAATAATCTTTCGTGGGACAATGCATTTTCTCTTTTTTTTTCTTGTATGCCCAAAAATTGCCCATCCTGTCACCGAAAACAATTATTTGAACAGCTCAAGTCATTCATCTTGAAAACATGTTATTATAATATTTTGAAGAATACATTTATTATTTTGAACTTTAAAAAGAAGTTTTCAGTAGTTCCTCACAAATCACAGAGATTATATTTTTGATATAACCTGCAGTTGTCAAAACTGTAGTATGGATCATGGCCTATGGGAAAGTGCATATTATTAGAGATACACTCAAATTCCTATTTTGTACACTTTGAGGTTAAAAATAAGTCTCTTTTCACATAGTATGTGTTCAAAGAGAATGTAAGTACAAAGATTGTATTGATAATGATGACAATTATGATTGGAGAGGTAAAGAACCCTCCACAGTCTCAAGCTCCTCAGTAATCTTTGGTCTATCAACAGATGTCAGATGGAAATCTCTGACAATGCTGTGGTATCACCTACATATTATTATGCATATTCCACAGTAGTGGGCTAAAATTAGCCACAGCTGTACAGAGAACCACAAATGTGAAAAGAGTCAGTTTTTGAAGGACTTTGTAGTTTTTTGTAGGAGGGTGTAAAATGTATACATTATTTAACCAAATGTTTTTGATACAAACAGGTAGTGTGAAAGAAGCAGAAGAATTTGACCACTTAAATCCAGTAGAAGCCAAGAGACGGCTCCGTATCTTGTTGACAAAAATGGATTTTGATAAAGATGAAAACATTGATAGAAAAGAATTACATGCTTGGATTCTGCGATCGTTCAAGTTAGTGTATTTTCTATAATGGTTTACAGTACATGTCTTGGCATCAAATTATTGTTTAGATTGAATCTTTGTGTTAGCAGTTCGTCCTGGGGGTTGAAATTTGAGATTTTGGCTTTAAGTACATCTGTGTGACACAAGGCTTTAATCGTCGTGCTATAACGGCATATGCCTGGCACTGCTAGCACTCATGTGTACATATATAAAGTTTGAAAAACAAGAATTTATTTATTCTTGGGGTTTGTGGTTTGCAGAATGTTATCAGAGGAGGAATCTCAGGAGAGATTTGAAGATGCTGATGATAATGAAGATGGTGTGGTGACATGGTCTGAATATATTGCTGATTCATATGGTATCAATGGCAGTGATGAGGACAACAGTATCTCTAATGGAGACAACTCAGAAGAGAACAAAGTACGTTACAAGATTTGAGGTTCTCAGGGTGGTGAAGATGTTAATTGTGATGCTCTGTAGTCTTGTGGGTAATTACAGTACTTACATTTCTGACGAATGTTTCCTCCATCTTTTGGGGTAGAAGTGTGTCAAGATGGGGATATCAGTCATTTATGTAAGGCAGTGTTTTACAAACTTTCTTCACCCGCAGCACACCTTACTTTGTCAGACACATGATGGCACACACAAAATTTCACCTTATGAAAGGGGGATATGAAACTATTCATGGCTTTGAGTATGTATCTACATTTAAATTCTTGTCCTATAAATTGCAGGCATATGACAACAAAACATACCACATGTTGAATAAAACTGTTGATGATGAATCAGTGTGTGTGTTACAAATTATAATTATTACAAAAATTTGCTGTACACCTGGAACCCTGTGGTGGCACACCAGTTGCAGAACTCTGATATAAGGGCAGGACAGCCAATGCATGTGGTGAAAAGGATTAATGCAAGGGTTAAAAGAAGAGAGGTGACTAAGAGTAGCTTTTTAAAGGTCATCTTCTAAGGTAGATACTGTAATAAACTGCAGGCTGAAGGAGGCAGAGGGAAAGTAAGTAAAAAGGGATGAAGGATAAAGGGAGAGGGTGGCTGATAGACCTGGTGATAAAGAAAGAAGCCATTTTCAATGGAATTTTTTATGAAACAGTATAGGAAATTGTTTTCATTCTAATAAGTGTGATCAGTAACAGAAGGCTACTGTGTCCTTGATGAGACCCTGCTTTTAATCCTTCATTTTGTGAAAGAGAGGCAACTAAGACATGTTCAAATGGAAACCATAAAAATAAATTGACAGTTACCGCCATTGGCTTTTCATTTCCAAAGACTGACCAGTAGACATTATGGTGCATAATCTGTAGTAGAATTGTTTGTATTACAGCTTTTGAGTGATGATAAGGTCATGTTTGAAGCAGCAGATAAGAACAAAGATGGATCTCTGAACAAAGCAGAATTTCTGATGTTCAGTCACCCAGAAGAACACCCTGACATGCTGCCTGTGATTCTCAAACAAACATTACAGGAAAAAGATATAGATGGGGATGGATTTATCAGTTTTCAGGAATTTATCAGTGATAGAGGTAAGACTAGTCAGTATTTCTTGGTGCATTTTGTCGTATATTGTTAAATAGTGTAGTGAAACTGCTTCCATCTCTGCTAGTTGCAAGCATAACTAAATACTGCTCTGTTCTTTGCAGTTTCTGGAGGGAGCATTTGCCTATAATGTAAATGAATATATTTTACCCAAGTTACCAATTGTAAATTTCTTTGAGAATTAATACATATAATCTAGGTCAGTGGTATTCAACCTTTTTTGTTTGCATACCCCCTGATATAATTTCTCTTCAACTTTGTACCCCCAAAGTTGTTGGTGTATAATTCAAGTTATGCATACTATATAATCTTCCAAATCGAATGTCCTTACGTCTGGTTCTCCTGTGGCTAACCCTAAATCTGGCCCTGATTATTCAGTGTTTATCATAAATAATTTTTTTTATTTATTTATTTATTTCACGTACCCACTAAGATGTCTTCGCGTACCCCAGGTTGAATACCACTGATCTAGGTACCTTTGCTTTTAGATGTATAATCCCAGAACACATGTTTTATAAATTGACAGCACTTAATTTCTTGTACTGAACAGTTTTTTGTTTTTAAATTATTTTTCAGGTAAACATCAAGAGAAAGAATGGTTGGTAGTGGAGAAAGAGAAGTTTGATAATGAATTTGATAAAGACAAAGATGGAAAGCTTAATGGAGCTGAAATTTTGTCATGGGTTGTTCCTAGTAATGAGTAAGTAGAATAATAATTATTATTATTATTATTAATTTCTGTAAGGGGGGGGGGGGATAGACAGCTTTAGAAGAAGATTTTAGTGTAGCACAGAAGGTGGTGTCAGTAATTGGATGGAGGCTGTCAGAAGCAGTTGTAAGGAGAGTCCCTCCCTAAATTCCAGAGGAGAAGAGTGCTATAAGTAATATATGTTTAGCATACCGATTGAATTATGATCACAGTGAATATCTGAAGAAAATATCAAGGCTAAGACCTATGTGCACATAATTACTGCAAACGTCTGACATATTCAGCTTATGTGACAAACTTGGAGTATGGAGGACTTCCAATAACAGCTATTGGACCTATATAAGGTCATTTTCTCTGGGCAAATAATACATGGAGCTGTATGTTCACTCTGTATGTGTCCATGGTGTTGTGCTTAATAAAGCACAGAGACCTTTTTGCCTTTTACACATACTTGCTTATTCTTTGTAAGACTTGAGGTTCTCACAGCGCAATAACCCAGAAGACGGATATCTTCTTGCTTATTCTTTGATATCAATTTTTGCAGTGAGATTGCTGATGAAGAAGTCAGCCATCTGTTTGCAGCTTCAGATGATGATCATGATGAACTGTTGACATTTGATGAAATCCTTGATCACCATGAAATATTTGTGGGCAGTGAAGCTACGGACTATGGTGATCACTTACACAACATTCATATCTTCCAGGATGAACTGTGAAAGGTAGTTTTTTTGCATGAATATGAATACATATGCATCTGTGGGTGCCTTCCTAATGTATTATTATTATTATTATTACATGCACAGATGTGCATTTGTATGGTATTGGTTGATACTGTGTCAACTGTTATGACATAATCAAAAATATTAACATTTTAAGCTGTGGTCAGATTGGCTTTATATACGGCCAAATGAGTGCCCTACCATACATGTCAGGTCCTGAAATAAATAACACAATGAAGTAGGCTAGGAGTGCTCACATTGTGTTAATTTCATTGCACCAATCATGGTCAGGGTGTTGATGGATGTAGGAAGTTCCTCTGAATCTTGGGTAAACTTCTACCACACTACATGGCGTAACATCCCATAAAACAGTCATCTTCATGTGTTCCGTGATAGCCTAAAATCTCACTTATCAGTTTAGTTTGTAAAAACCACCCATTATGGGACTTGAAAGGCAAGAACAATTTACAACAGGTTTCTCTCCAGAAAATCATCTAACCCAATGGAGCACAAACTGATAGTATGATAATCTAGTCAAGAATTTCCCAAGCGTTTATGTAACCTGAAGGTTTGTACCAGTATGGAGTTTTTTCCCCGGCCTCTTGTTACTTATCCCTCTTAGATTGAAATAGTCTCCTCAGTTTGGCCACTTGGCAGTACATGGAGTCAGTCTGACCATATCCTTAGGCTGCTTATAGTCTAATTAGTGTAATTATAAATGTGATGAAACTTGCCCAGTTTGTAGAAGCTGGTTTTTTCCCCATAATTATGCTGTTTAATATGTTGAATCTTTTAAATCTCACCTTTTTGTGGGAATTGACTTTCACTGTTTAACATGTTTAATCTCTTAACAAGGAATCTCTTAAATATTACTTTTGTGTGGGAATTTACTTCCTATACATTTTAATAAGATGGCCTGCAAATGAGATCTGCAGAGTGAGATTTGCTGTGGAAGAACTGGTCTTTATATATTCCATAGAAAATGTTTTATGTAATTTAATTATATTCTATTCAGGGGTTGGATTTCTTGCTAGTGCAAGGTTCTTTCTTCCTTTTCTGTCATATCCTGACTGGCTCTAGAACCCACTTTGCCCCTTTCAGTGGACAGCAGGGTCCCTTTCCAATTCCAATGCTTCCCATCTGTTTTTATGGTGTGTAATTAAGTATAGAGTTAATTTTACCTTTCACTCTCAGCCTATTTCCACTGCTCTGGTCTAAAAGACTCAGGCCAATTTTCACATATTTTCAGTTTGAAATGTAAAAACACATGATTTTTTTACATACATACACACATAAAAAACCATAATTATACACTAATAAAAAACCATAATTATACACTAAATGACCGCCATGGTGGTCGAGCGGTCAGAACGCTAGCCTAGTAATCCTGGGGTTCCGGGTTCAATGCCCAGTGGTGCTCAGATTTATAACTTGTGTTGGGCAAGGCCGTGGTATAGGCATCACGGAGTTTTCCTCCGGGGGCTTCCCCGGTTTCTCCGTGGTATCCCAACAATTACTCCATTCACACAGAAGAAGGCAATGCCAAACCACTTCTGAATCATCTGCCGAGGAAACGGACCTGTACTACACTAAATACTGTAGACTTGAAAAAAAATCTCGTAAATTCTAATGTTATATTTAACTTACCAAAAAATGTGAAAAATAAAATTTAAAAAATAAAAATTTATTTTCAGGAGGTAAAAACAAATTATTTTTGTCATCATTCTTCATCACTTATCCTGCAAGAAAGAACATTTATTTCTGTATAATTTGATATAAGTTTGGTGTCTGTACTGTTATCTGGACCTGAAGTAGAACACTTTTTGTAAAACATTTGTAGTCGGCACCTGTGCTTTGGAAAACACTCTCCATGCAGCCCCCTGTTGCACCTGCTGCACACCATTCTGGCTTTCCTCCTCTTTTTCTTGATGCTGCACACAGTACACTGGGATTCCTTCCTCTCAGGTAATTTCCTTAGCCCCGGTGGTCCTTGTGGATCATCCTTAGTGCTTCCATTCAACGTCATCCATTCCTCTCCCAAGCTTTCAATGATGGCCACTGTGTGGCTCAGTCTTGATCTTACTTTGCCAGTCTGCCTGTAGTTCTCCTTGTAAAGAATGTAGCTGTTCAGCACTGAGCGTTTAAGGGATACTCTCAGGAGCTGATCTTATTGTAGTGCTAAGACCAGCTATGAAAACAGCCCCTGATTCATACCTACCACACTCAATATTAGTGATAGTATTTCCCATGAAAGTGAACATATTTTCTCAGCACTAATGATAGCTTGCTCAGTTGCAGCTACTCATCAGAATGTTTGTTATATCCACATGTCATCCTCTTGTCTCGTAACTTTGCCAGATCAGTATGGGGTTGAGGAATGTTTTGTTTTTCATCAGAAGAATTTCTTATGTTATTATTCAGGACTGATACATTATCAGAATATATTTTTATTATTATAATTTTAATTATTATTTTAGTTCTAGTCAACATAATGAAGGTTCTGTTTATTTATCACTTATATAAAGACTGCTAGTACATGAGTTTTTCTGGTGAGAAAAATTGTAAAACAGATTTCTGTTGAGTAGGATGTGAGGTCTTCATGGTGGTATGTCCAAAGATGGCTGTCTTCTGGGTTGTAGCGCCATGTAGGCTGGTAGAAGTTTACCAATGTTGAGCCGTGATGATGGAGGCAACAAGGAGTCCTGAATGTTGGTAAACTTCTACCAGCCTACATGGCGCTACAACCCAGAAGACAGCCATCTTCAGAATTCTATTGTTGAATTGAGCCTTATATTAAACGTGCATATTATGATGCTGTTCTAACAGTATTTCATTGTATATATATTTTCACAGTGGTTGCATAAAAAGAAGTGTGTACTCTACAAATAGTATGTTTGACACGTTATTTTCCCATGGCATTAACCACAGCTGCAAATGCTGTATCAAGTTGTGTGTCCTGTGCCTGTACCTGAGCACAGAATAATTACATGAACTTTCGTTCAAGTAACTTATTTCTATAAATGTGCGAATTTTGTTTTGTGGTTTATAGTTGCGTTCATATTTATATTTACTTTCCAGATGACAGTGTCATTCATTTTAAGCAAGGGTTATACGTGGAAGAAATATGACATACTCGGTGATAAGCCATTTCAGAATGGGATTGATGATGGGTGTGAGCCAGTATACATTGTTCTTACTGCTGAATATTGACAGCTTAACAGGTGACAGTAATGCAATAGGAGCTACAGTCATAGGTCTGGGCTGATTGGACTGCATTGTACATGTACTGACAATTGTAAAAATGTAGAAGAAACTACATGCATTGCTGCAAAGTAGATTACAAGAAAGTCAACATATGTTAGCTGTGCAGTTAATAAGCTTTGTACAGAGAAGTGTGTTGTACTTCCTGCCATAGAGGAAATTATAAATAAATTGAAAGAAAATGGGATTTGAGGTACTTGTGGCGGTGAGTAGGAAGATGGCTGTCTTTTGAGTTCTAGCACTATGTAGTCTGGTAGAAGTTTACCAACATTTTAGAAGTACTTGCTGCCTCCATCATCAGGGCCTAATGATGGAGGCAGCAAACAGCCATCCTCAAATTGAAAGAAGACATGCCTCTTGAAGTGACAGAGTGCATTGTAAACCATACAGGTTGTCTAACAGTAGTCTGTTGTAATCATTCATCCACAGTAGTGGCAATAATATTATAGTGAAATCATTTATGTTTCTCACTTTGTGGTTTCCTCATTTCTGTAGTCTAGTGTGCATTATTTAACTGTGAATTATCGTCACTTTAATGTTCAAAACTATTATCCCAACAGAAAACATTAAATAGTGATTTCACTGTTTAGCCCACTAGTAAGGAATGCTGTTGTACAGTTGTGATATGCCATTATTCATTCAAATAATAATCTTTGTTTATGTATTGCTTTTAAATTATAAACATTGTAGAAAGAATACAGAATTCCCATAAATAAACGTTTTCATTTTTTATTAAAAAATATTAACCAAAAAATTCTGATCATAGTTTGTATATTCCCTCTATCACTGATATTGGAAATTCTATCTAGATATGCTGAAATTCAAGGAAGATTCAGCCTATATAGTGCAACTGTATAGCAGATATGGAATTTTATGACCTGTGATGCCTAACTGCCAGTAGTTCTGGCCGCAATGACATATTGAGTCTGTTTCATTTACTTCCTTGTCGTTTCCACACTTGTGCATCGACTTTTGCACAGTTGATGACTCCTGTGCAAAAGTCGTATCACAAGTGTGGAAATTGCTTACAGGAAGAAGAAAGTTTGCCATATATAACCTCCCAATTTAGTACTTTGCCTGTATTTAAAATGTTTTGTAGAGAATGTTTCGAAATGTTACATTGCCAAGGTTCGGTGAAAAGGTGCATACTTTTCGAATAAACACGACGACGTAAATTTTCAGGCTTAAATCTTATGTTTTCAGGGCCTGTATTAAAAGGGCCACTTCTGCCGTTGCCACCACAGAAGTTCGTATGGGTGCCTTGTTGATAATTCCTACTGGTAGGACATTGGGAAAACAAAGGTAAGGTGGCCTCCAGTGGTATGAAGTTAATACCAAATGTCATAGAACCCCATAGCTTGGTTTAAAAATTATTAGGAACTAGGATGCAATACTAGCCCGACTTTCCTGCCAATTTGCGTTATAATCGATGTGGGAGGGGTTGTAATCACGAGCATTTTACTGTTGCAATTGGAAATTACGTAATGAGGTCTTTCCGTAACAAGAATTTATAGATATACAAATTGGGTTGTGGAAGATTGCCATAAATCCTTCATGGCGCCCTATAAACGGGGATCAGCTTAATTTATTCCTTCGTATTCCAAAATATGTGCGTATTGGTGTGGCCCACTTTTTTGGAATAAGTACGATGGATTGCTTAAATTAAAGACGACAAATCGATAGCAAATTTGATTAATATCTAGCAGTTTTAGGTATGATGATATTCACGAAGAAAGATCCAATATGCACTTCTGGTCCTACGGACCATTTTCGAATATGACACATATTTAAAGTGTAAAGTGTCTTCCTCGAATTGACTGTAGCGTTCAGATGGTTCATACACATATTTAAACAACTGATTCATTATTCTTTTTAAATAGTTACAATTATGGTTTCATTTTGTTCAGAATTTCACCGTATTCTTGATCAGAGGATATTGTATGTCCGTGGAAAGCATAGAGAATATAGCGCCAGCGAAAACTAGCCGACAGTGGCGCTCGAGCAAAACAGAAATGTAATATGGTGGATAAGTAGATCTCTTTTGTGTTGTTATAAAAAGTGAGACTGTATAGATGAAAACAGTATTGGAGTTTCGAAGTAAATGTTTACTGTAAACATAAATAAAAGTCGAATAACTGAGGAAGTCGGACTTTCGGTCGCTACCGGGATGGGCTGAAAACGAAGAAAGCTTACTAAAAGTAAGGTTTAAGATTTCTGTATTCTGTTATTTAGTTTGGCGGCATTGTCGTTGAAATGAAGTTCAGTGACATGTAACATGAATATGAAATTGCCAGTTTTTATATATATGGGTGCGAAGAAAAGAGCATGTTTTCATTTGCCCTAGGGCTTTTAAATTTGAGAGGAGAAACGTAATATGTATATTCAGTGACAATTTTTATTTATTACATCTGTTATAGGCTTGTCACTACATTTTCACCTTGTATAAAACAGAAAGAACTCTCTGTTTCATTAAGAGTGTTTGCATATATCATATTACAAAAAAGTTGTAAAACAAAGTGCTGATTGGACAAGAATACACAACATTTTTCCAAAGAAGACTGTCATATCCAAAACTAATGCAGCATAATCTTTGTGGGAATAGCCTTGCTTTTATTTCAAGAATCTCATACTAATTACATTTTACTTGCTGAATATGTTTACAGTATCTTAGATTTGTTGAGCTATGTTGATATATTCAGGATTTACAACTGATTGAATGTGTTGTTGATATGTGTAATTTGCTGATTAGCCCAGTCGTCTTATATGAACTTAATATTAAAGATTAGTGGTTATCACATACATGTTGCATTGTGGAGGTCTTGATTTAAAATACTGTTCTAACCAGCATTGCCGACTGAGATTTGTTGTAGTATTTCTTATGCTTACCTTAAAATACATCATCATTTCTATCTCAGAAGTCCATCTCAACTAAACATTTGTAATCATTGTTTGTTTATTGTCAGATGCTATATAACCTTTGTAGATGACAATTTTAAGTAGCCCAAGAAAGAAAAATATGGGTGCATCAACATGTTTGGTCCAGTTTTCAGAGTCTGTTTGCCAACAGCTACTGAACAAAATACCATTGAAAACTCAGACAAAATATTTAAATCACAGAGTAAAATGAAAAAGAACTAAAAGCAAAAGTCTGTAATTTATATGACAGATGAAAGTGTTTTTGAAGAAAACTGACAGGCTTTTTGACTCTGCTTATGGTTATAATAACTCTTATACAGATAGAAGATTATTAGTTCTTGACTGATTAGTGTGATAAAAGAAGGGAGTACATGGTTGATGGTTGGAATGTATTGTATACTAAACCATAAAGGAACAATGTTCTCAGGAAAGAAACATAAAACACTGGAAATGGCTCCCAGGGTTAGTGCTAGGTGTACTATCAAGGAAATAATTCAGCTAAGCAATATGGCTATTTACAAAAAACTACCAGCATATCTTGACAATATTTTGACAGTTTCAACGGGTCCCACAGAACAGTTCCTGTTGACTTTTATGTGTGCATTGTTCATGAAGCAAAATTGTGAGAATCTAACATGCTTGCATACATATATGCTTATATAATCATGTTTATTATATATTACATACAACAAATATTAACAGATACAAAGACTATATACATAAACTAAGGAAGAGATTAGTAACTTACCTTTCTGTTTAACATATACTGTGCAGCAATGAAAACTGAAACCCTTGAACCTGCACTTTCTTTTTATAGTCCTTAGAACATTCTAGAACATTTTGTTCTGTTGCACAAATTGAGAATATTTTCTACATTTCAAGAATGTTCACTGGCATTGAAGAATATTATAGTGCATTCTGTAACCCTACTCAACATTCTGTTATCTAAAACCTGTAAAAATCACTGGTAAGTCACAAACGTTAATTGGCTTACGTTGGCTCTAAATATTATTCAATTTGATTCAGATATAGCAAAAATTGTCTTCTAAGATTTAAAACCAAATTAGATGGTAGTATGTTAAATTCTGTGTTGTTGAATTTGTCATGATAATCTGCCTTGTGAGGCATGCTTTAGGTCAAAGAAAACCGTGTTGTTGAAACATTAACCAAATATTGGAATAGCATGTGGATTTGATTCTCAGTCCAAACACTGGCTGTTCTGATAGAGATTTGTAAATTTTAGATTATGGTCTTCTGGGATGTGACACATAGTGTTGTTGGTGGTTACCAATATCATGTAAAAATCTGCTGCCTCTGTTTTCTGATTTTGTACAGCATTGCACATTGTCACAGCCCAGAGAATTACAGTTAAAACTCTCATTACAGAAAACCTCAGGCTTCGTAGTCATTTTTGTAGTTGTATATGTAGAGCTGGGGTAGCTCAGTCAGTACAGTGACTGGCTGTGGACTGGACGACCGAGGTTTGATCCCTGTAATGGCAGAGGATTTTTCTTGTAGCCTCTGCATCGAGACCAGCCACACAGCCTCCTATCCAATGGGTACCAGTATCAATTCCCAGGAGTAAAGCGCTGCCGGGATGTGACACTGACTGCTCACCCCCATCTAATGCTGAGGTTAAGAATGAGTAGGAGCTGTTTGGTCTCTCCCCCAAGTGTCTACATAGTGTATAGCTTTACTTTATTTTATAATGTAGAGCTTAGGCTTTCAGGGGTGAACTGCTGTTGAGTATTATTTAATGTCTCTGCAAATATTGTAATTGCTTTCTTCAGGGTGAATATGTGGTGGTTAAGCAATTTTTGAACTTTAGACAGTTGGTTGGAAGTTGGAGCTGTTTGGTGGAGCTGAAAGAAAAGCAGGCTGTCTTTTTGTGTTTTTGATATCTCAATGGATTGTACCATAACACAAGCCATAGACTTTCTTGTCCTTCACAATTTATACATTAACATTTTTCCATTTGACAGTACATGACCACAAAAGATGTTCCTAAATTAGACTGTTTCCAGGTTGTTGGGTCCCAGTAGAGAAACATGCCACCATGATGTGGAATGAAATGCTCATCCACATGGAGGCATGGTGATGGAAGTGGATGCAGAATCACACAGATATTATGAAGGTATATATTTTAGAGTCTTTTCGTGAACAAAGCTGAAGCTTGTGAAGCTTCTTCCTGTGGCAGTTTTGTTTAATCACGTGTCTCGTCCTGGTCCCCTTTGCCATGCTTAGTGTAATATAATGTAAGTAAATGAAATCCACTGTATGTAGTATACTAAAATATAGCACAGTTTTGAATTAGTTACACAGTTTCAGAATCCATTTCTGCAAGCAGAAAAGCCTGAAAGTTTCATCACAGTGATTGCTTGTTTAACTGTGCATTTGAATGTAAAGGAGTACATCAGGAAGACGTATTCAAATGACATATAACTGCAAACAATGTTACCTACTGCTCTTCTGTGACTTTTTTGGTCAGTGAATTTTCTTCCCCTTAGTGGGCGGTGATTTGTGTCCTTTCTCCTCAGACCAGTGTAAGTATTTATTAGTGAATATTTCTGGTTTCACTTCATACCTTGTAAATATTTTATGTTTGAATGGAATCTTTTAAGGCAGTTTACCCCTAGTCAAGGAAACTGACTGTAGAGTGATCATAAGCTTAGAATTTTATTTCTGTGTGATCCATGATTTGCTCACTGTATGTGTGGAGCCATTTGTTCAATATTTACGCAGAAACGTAATCTGAATATATTTATTGGTCTGCTGTATTATCAGCCACCATAATAGATTAATGTGACAGTTATGATCAACATTATGCAATAGTGATTTTGTAATCCAGTTTGTGTCATATTTTGAGAATGTTGAAGCCAGTGAAATAGCACTAGGGACAGATTTGTGTATTTTTTGGGTTGCCATGGTGTAATCACCATCAGCATCATCATTACAGATGTACAGTGAGCCAGTTTAGTTGAAGATGAATTTTTATTGTATTAACACCTAACAGTAAAGATAATTACCTTTATTTAATATGTAGCTTGTGATACATTTTTTTAACATACTGTCATGTAAAATGTTCTGTAATGCATGTAAATAATATACTCTACTCACATCCAGTGCAGTTATGCAGGTTTCAAGATATTATGGTTTTGAATGTCTTTGTCCCTTTGAAGCCAATGCTTGTCTAAATAATATATAAGAATTCAATTTTTACCTCAAAGGAAATGCAACACCACCATTACAAAGATGAGCTATTAAGCACTGTGTAAGGAATAATCCCTCTTTACTGTGAGAATTATATGAATTCCATATTTACTAGATTAAGACTTCTTGATTGTTGAAGCAGGAGGGGAAAAAAGTTACGAATGGGCATTAAATGGTTAAGGATTTCTGAATGAATTTTCTAAAAATTCTTGGATTTCTGTAAAATTTTCCGAATTTCTTAAAAGGTCCCAAATTTTAAATATTTCTGAACGTCTTTAAAAATTCCTTGCAGAACAGCGCTATATGATGTAGTGTAGTTTGGTGACATGTTTGTTATGTTTTTTGTTGACTGAATTCAAATAATGCGTTGTGTTTGCACAGTAGCCATCAATGAAGCATGCAAGAAGCAGGGTAAGGTAGAATGTGACGTTGCTGACTGTAGGATGGACACCATGCCTGGCTGTTCGTATGATTCACTGAGAGATTTTAACTCTCGAATATCACACTCACATAGTAAGAAGGTGATTAAACATGCTTTGCGGCAACAAGCCAAACGCCGCCGGAAGAATACAACTATTGCATCTGGGAATTCAGCTCCTTTGCCTCGGATTGTTGTAAAACCATTGTCATCACGACATGAAGGTTAACAAATTTATTTAATTGTTTTCTATAGTACTTAAAAATGGTTGTCTTACATTGATTGAGTAAAAATTGTACCTGCGGAAGTAGTAATGGAATGTAATATAATTTGATTTATATTAGAAAGTTAAATCTCTTCATTGAAACAATTATAACTGGACTGAATGTGATTTAAGATTATTATTATAATATAAATTTGTTGTTATGCATGGTTAATTGCACTTATTTTTGTAATGGATGCTAGTTTGTAAGTTAGTTTCTTAAACATTCTTGAAAGGAAGAGTTTGGTGTAATCTTAATAGGAGTAAGTTATTGAAGTTCAGAATGTTATAAGTTATTACTTGAGGACTGGAAATTATTTTAACATTTGTATGCATATACAAATTTATTAATTGTTCCTTTTTTTGATTTTATAGACAAAGAATTTAGAAATACATCAAATAGTGTGAGTCCAAAACTGGCCACAATGCGGGAAGTACTGGCATCAATACCAGGGTTTAGTATCAAGCCAAGGAAGCGTTCTACCAAAAAGTTATCAGCTGCTGCTCAGTTGGAACAAACCAAAGAAGGCTGTATTGATCTGGAAACTCCAGACTCTATCCTTGTTAATACAAATCTTCGAGCCCTACTCAACAAACATACCTTTTCAAGTTTACCATCTCTTTATCAATACAAGCTTGTGCAACTACTTCCAGATGTGGACAGAGCAGGAGTTGCAGGCCAACCTGATGCCTCACTGAGGTATGCATTCAGAATTGGAAGCCCTACTCAGAAACACGCCTCTTATAAACCCGTGCATGTTGGTGTAACTTTCTCCAAATGGCAGTCATAGGTATTCATCTCTGAACCTTGCCATGACTTGATCAGTAGTTTGTTTAGCTCTTTCTAGGTGGAGGACATAAGCTGACATAGAACATTGTTTATATCCGAATGTGGATGAATAAATGAGGTAAGAAGGAGTGTCATGGAAGCTGTGGTTATTGCCTGTTGTTTTGTATGGGTGTGAAACATGTTCCCTATTATGAGGAAAATGTAGGTATTAGGGGTGAAATTTTATATTTTTACAGCGGTGTCTTGCAGAAATAGATTGTGATCTTCCAGGCTGAGATGTTGCTTGCCATCATTTTGAAAGAATATATCCCCATCTTTAATGTGGAAGTGTTTCTGTGATGATGATAAGCAAACAGGTTCTTCCAAAAGGTTGGTGACCGACCACCTACTAGACTACGAAGCGTCATAACCCAGAAGATTGTGGTCATAAAGATGTTGGTGTTTTTGTACAGAGTGCTATGAAGAATAAATTTTTTGTGGCTGCTATATTGCTATTCATATTATCTACAGAGGTTTTTTAGGACATTGTTTTACCATGAAAAATTTCAGGAGTCTACATTAAGTGTCACTTCCTCCTCTGAAGTTCTTACTGCCACCAAGTTGGTAAAGAATGAAGCACATAAAGGTGAGTTAGCATCTGTGACGCCCATGCTAAAGATTTTGAAGATTATCAGAAGTTGACAGGTAACAGATGGAGATTGATACCGATATGTTTGCTTGCATATAAATATGAACACTACAGTAAGCCAGCCTTCCTTTAGAAATGAAGTTTTAAACTAGCAAGGTAGGAAACATATACATAAGGTAATAATTTCAGTGCCTTTGCTTTATTATGATAAGTAGCATGAGCTATTATCAGAGACTTCCACCGAAACATGAAGTTTGTGAATGGTGCCATTGGCATCAGATTTCTGTGGAGGCGATGGCCTCTGCATTAGGAAGGTGGTAGTGCTTGTCTGAGTTTTGATGTCATCATGTGAGATGCTGCTATAGCCAGTTTCATCGCTACTTCCACATGCAGAAATGCATATAAAGTGCCCATTAATATTCAGGTTGAAGCAAAATTTGAATGTGTTGAGAGATATTTTCAAAGCTCCCCATTATCAGTTGTTATTAAAGTCTGCTGATTAGTTATTGAATTGTTACAGGCATGGCAATGCTATAGGCTAATTTTTATAACATAATTGTGAACACTTGTAAATATGAATTTAGAGGTAGAGATTTTGGGTAGTTTTAAGAAATGGTTATTGCTGTTGTGTTTTCCTTAGTAAAACCCTCATACATTGTAAGACAGTAAAGTCAAAGTTGAAAAAATTAAATATTAGAACTTTAAATATTGCTTGATTGAGATGTTCTCCTTGTATTATTGTACTTAATGTATTTGGAATATGCATCTTCTATTAAGTCTTGGGAAATGGGAATATATATTATTTTAAGGAGTAAGCTTCTACAAGGAGAAATTGTTCATGCTTTACCATAAAACAGTAGCTGCATAACAGGCTAGCCCAGCATTGACCTGCTATGCTTCTGTTAATGCATTTTTAAATCACACATTCTGTGCTGTACAACATGGCTCAGGTGAGGTGTCTGCAGAACAGTGTGAGTTTGTTCCAGCTTTATTTAAAATATGAGTCTACTAGAAAAGTCACAGAAAATTTCATCACAAGTACTTATTTATTGACATTATGACATGGCTTGTTGCTTACTCCTGGAAATTTAGATAGGCTGATGGATTAGTAAATACTGAAGTATGAAGTGGTAAGATTAAGTGATTGCTTATTTCACATTACTTCAAGACCATTTTTTGGAGGAGTGTATAGAACATTTTCTGTCTTGTGCATAATAATTGTTATTTTGTTAACAGATTAAGTACTTCTGGACTGAACAACGAATTCTTTGCCAGAGCTTGTTTAGAGTGGCGAGAGCGACTGGCGGAAGGAGAATTTACACCAGAAAACCAGCAGAAACTGAAGGCTGAAGCTGAAAAGGAAATGAGTCGTTTAGATCCATGGAAGGTCAGTTGTTAATGCAACGAATATGCAATAAAAGCCTGATGTAACAAGTACATCTTTACAAGTGTTTTTATGCATGCTGGAAGACATCTTACCATCAGTCACTACTACTTTCCAAAAGGTCATGTTCGTATCTTGTTAAAATCATTCATACACTTTCTCTGTTTATATTAATCTCTCATTTTAGCTTCTAAATGATTAAGCCATGATATTTTCTCTCAGTTTCAGTCCCCTTGACATTCTAGCCATTTCTTAAAGTATTCAGACAGTGGATTTTTCATCATCTGTAATGTCTTCCTCCCATCTCAGAATCATTTATCCCACACAAAAATCAATGTTGTGCTCATTTTGCGGTCTGTAAATGTTTTGAAAATGTTGGTTGAATTTTCCTTCATTTTCACTAAAACAGTTTATCATGTATGTTTGACAGACAGAACACTGATTGCTTGAGAATATGTCTCTGAAATCAGTCACAGTGAAAACTTTAAATCTTCCATAATAAGTTTCTTTATATAAAATATTTTGTTTCCAGTTGAAATTTCTTCTTATCACTTGCAGTGAAAATTATGGAAGTAAACACATTTGGCTGGCTTTTTTCTGCTTTTAAGATTAATATGTTTTTAAACATTTTCATGCTATGTAATTACGGGCTTCTCTTGTATCTCTTGCTTTATATTTGTAACAAATACCATCAGTAATTTTTCTTTCCTGCTTTCATTATTTGATGTTATTGAAATATTCTTATTTGTTTTTCTTCAAGCTCAAACACTTCGAGCCAATTTGGGGTGAGAAGCATGAGCCAACCTCAGACAGCACCCCATTGCTCTTATCAAGTCCTGTACGACCACCATTGAAAACGACCATCAAATTGAGGCCTTCAACATCAGCGAGTGCAAGGCATAGCAAGATCGTTCCACGGAGACCAAGGACTGTTGGGGCTGTGACTAGAGCTATCACCAACTACTGGGTTCAAGAAGAGGCAGATAGCACAGCTGATGATCCACCTGGTCCTGTTGAGAAGAGGCCAGCAGAACAGTATGATAGTGTTGGAGGAGAAAAGGAGGTACACAAGAAATTGAGGCCTCTTTCCAGCTCTGCAGGTATTACTTCATAACCATCCTTTCCAGTTTTATTCGCATTTGGCCTCTTATTGTATTACAGAATGCAGTAAAGTAGCCTTAATGAGAATTTATGACATTTGGAAAAGTCCACATTCTAGTGGGTACTCATCTGAAAATTGTTGAATCGCAAATTTCTAATTAAGTATGTCATAATATGAGACTACGTTTTTAAATCCAGTGTAGGTAGGGCAGTATTTTTTTTTTATTCAAGTGGTTATTGTGGAGGTATGAAAATAACTAATAATAATTTAACCTTCTCATTGTCTTCAGTATTATCTGGACAGAGAAGTAAAAGGTTTTCTCGTACGTAACATCTCATACTCAGAGTTGGCTTATTTATGCCGTTCTTCACAAGCTAAAATACAACCCACTATTTGCTGTTCACTCACAAGTACTATCCATATTTGACTCATAATTTGCTTCACACACGTACATGTGAGATTAAATGTACAGACTTTTATGAACTTGTTTGGCTTGGAATTTATGAAGTGAACCAACATGTATGTGTGTAAGTACAGTACGTTACATACTGGCTCTAAACACCATGATTGAATATACTGGCCTCTAATACACAGAACAACAGATAGTATCTACCCATATTTCTTCCTATTTTGTGCTTTTATGAGCTACCAACTTCATAGAGACATATTACTTCAAGCTCAGTATTCACGTGTAAGCACTTTCATTTTGTTGCCATGATTAGGGTTGAACATTCTTTAGCATAAAAACAAAGAACAACTGCAGAATGAATTGCAGCTCTTGTTCACTAGCTTAATGACAAAGTACAGTGAATATAGAAAATATTTAATTAGTTTAAGTTTATTTTACAGGATATTCTTACCAGTACTTGTGTTGGGTTCGATGTGCTTTACTGGTAATACACATTTCCTGATCTTATTTTATATTTTTGCAGATGATAAGTGTGTTGATATTGGGATTACACACGCAATAAATGCTGAGGAGTGTGTCTCAGGAAATAGTGTTGGAACTGAAACAGCTGCGGAGAATGAACCAGATCACAGTGTGAGGGATGAAGCAGTGGCCCACAAAATAAATGTTACTGTATTCGAATCAGTTCAAGAAGAAGCAACAGCTGCTGAGTCAAGTATAAAGTTTGAATCTGAGAATGATGTTGCAGCTGGAACTGTGACGCATGAAATAAGTAGTGCAGAGTGTAAATCGGAGGAAGGTGTTACTCACGAATCGACGGAATGTGAGATGAATGTCGCGGATTACACAGTGAAGGTAGAAGACTGTGACACTGAGAAACAAACAGAAGATGAGCACGCCATGTCAGAAGTTGACATTGTTGTGAAATGTGAATCCAGAAAGGAATCAGGTGAAAGTGAAAATCAAGAAAGTACTGAGAAAAGTGATGATTTGAAAGTTGACTCTCAGACTGCATCAGACCTCAGACTAGCTGTTGACAATGCGGACATGTTACAGAAGTATGAAACCGAGGCAGTAGCAGTAGAAGTTGATGGTGTAAGATCAAATGTTAGGAATTCAGTGGATCAAGACTTTGACTTGGTGCAAGAAATGACAGTTAGTGATGCTGATCACATGACGTATGAGCCAAATATGGTGCCTGAACATGATGTAATTCATGAGAGTGCTATTTTGGATTCAACTGACTATATTTTTAAAGATGCAAATGTAGTTCAGGACAACAGTAATTCCAAAGATCGTGATACAAAGACTGCAGTTGATGTGTCTGGTGAAATGGGGTCTGTGTCAGAGCTCGAGGATTCAAAAGTGGATGAAGATGAGGATGCTGAAGAAGTTCAGGCAGCTTTGATTGCAGCAGTAGCTCGAAGTGAAGCCTGCTGTTGGGATGTGGTGGACTCTACTGAAAAACTGTTGGCAGAAGTTCCGCTTGTTGCATTGGAGGCTGTGCCTGTTCCTGTCAGAGTCCCGGTGACACTGGCAGTAGTTGAGGAGGGGGAGGCACTTGAAGAAGTGGAGGTGATTCCGATGCAGGAAGAACTTGAAGTTAGACTTGAGGAAGGTACATTTCCTGTGGCTCCAGAAGATGCGTTATCTATGGATTGGCCGTATCCCATGAAGATGGACTCTGGTATCGTGGCACCTGCTTTGGACGATGTAGAAGGTGGCACATCATCTTCAGGGAAGTTGACACAAGCTCAGTACCCAGAGTTCTCAACAAGTCAGGCTGTTAAACTAGAACTAGAAGGTTAGGAATCTTATTTACAGTAAACTGGCACATTATTGCTCATTGTAAGTACTGGCATGAATCTGGTAGCTCATCTTTGATCGATCAGCAATGGGTTGGTAGGTGATAAGGAGAGATTATAATACTCTTACCAAAACTTGCAGCTCTGGCCCTGCAAACAGACCAGTCTGTCAGGTACCAGTCTCGTGAGTTTTTCATTCAGGTAGGTTATAAAAAGTAGTAATAGATTTGTAAATGTAAAGGCAATATAACTGGATGCTGGTGTCTGCAGACAGGTGCAATATTTTCAGCTTAGAGAGTATAGGTCCGATCAACGGCTTGGTACACTCGAGGTCAAACTTCCAGATTTGTGCTAGTTACTATACATTAAGATATTACCATTTTCCTTGCGCCTCTTAGTTCTGGTATGATAGGGAGAATTTTACTGTTACAGTATATTAGTGTGATGTGTATTTTTGGAGTACTTTCTGACAGTAGAGATGAAATTTAGAGGTGACTTTTTCCATAAATTAGATCCTTTATTTGTCTAGCAGTTCAAGTTAAGCATAAATTGTTTGATTGTCTAAAGGTTTCTAAGAATGTTTGATTCATTACACCAGTGCTGGGATTTGTCCATTATATGAGGTATAGTTGATATGCACAGTGTTGCAAGAGTTGGCTATTAACATTTTCAAGTGAGGAGTTGTCTTACATTTTTATGTTAAGTGGATCCCTTGTTGTCACAGCATTATGATTTTTCTTATTGTGGATGGAGGATGGCCTGTAGATAAGAACAATAATTGCAAATATGTAGAATAAGCAATTGTAGATAGCCAACAGTGGGTGGTCCCCAAACTTAGGGGTAACAGCTCTTGATACAAAAATTAACATCCTCTGAACATAGGACTGCTCCATAGTGTTAATTAATTTATTTTATAAATTAGACTCAACTGTCAGTATCATATCTGGAACTGTTTGATAATAAACATGTTTTATAACCACTATTGACAACCAATCACTTAGTGATGGGTATGGAGTCAACTTGCAAAACATTGTTTATGTTAAATATATCTGACATTGAACAGTATTTAACACTAATTGTGAAATAAGTAATCTCTTACTCTGTACACTTCTCACTCTGTATAAACATTATTTTTGCAGTGACACTTACACCTGAGGCTGTAACTAGTGCAGACAGTTTGGTAACGAGCACTATGGGTGGCTCACATCACAGTGCATCTGCTACATCTGCACCTCCAACTGTCTCCAAGATGAATGTTGCCACTGTCATACCCCCCACCACAATAGTTTGTTTGCCATCTGCAGTTTCAACACCAAGTTTCATCAACCACACGCAGTTGAGTAGTTGCTTGAATGCTCCGTCAAGCAGCAGTGTCGTGAGTTCGAGCCTAACCAAGACAGCTGCTGTAGCCAGTTCTAGTGCTGTGCCCTACTTGGCCCTCAGCAGTAACACTCCCGTGCGGGCCCTCCCCACTCAGCTGCCAAAGAGCCAAGCCAAAGCTAAGCCAAGGGACCCATCCCAGGTTAATTATTTTGTTTATTGCTTTATGTGGTTAGGAAAGCAATATATCAAAATTATGCTGTTGCCTTACCATTGTCATGATAAGTGTAAAACATGCATACTTGTAAGAAATTTAGGTTAAGCACAATTTGCTGTAGTATACAGTTAAGTCCACAAGCTAAAGTTGGAGTAACTTTTAAACTTGAACACAAAGAAGTGATAACATGCAGGGTGGTGTTTGGGAAGGCTTGTGATTATGGTTTCAATAATCACATTGATTATTAACAGATACCATTAGAGTAGTCAATGTTGTTACACTCAGCAATTGAGAAGCTTGGCTGAACAGTACCCAGTTCAGATATGAGCCAGGTATTATCTGTCCTGACCGATCCTGTGGTTTTTCAAAGTCCCTCCAAGAAAATTCTTACTTGCACATCTCTTATTCTTTGTTCATAATCAACCTTTTATATCTCATTTTTCTGTGGATATGAAATGTGTTGCAAAATTTTTTGGTCTGCTGTGTTCACTGTTTTTTTGGACAAACTTCTTCAAAATTTTCCTTCCACGTATTCCTCATAAAAAATTGACTTTTTTTGTAAGTTTAATATTTGTAATTTTGATAGTTTATATATTTTTAGGAACACAGTGGTGAGCACAAACATTTTATCAGTTTGCTGTCCTTTTAGTGACACTTATAGGCTACCTGTAGTGAAATTATAAATCTGTCTTGAACTGAATGTTGAAGTGCACAGTTCATTACTCCTCTATATGTAGGGCAATTTGAATCTTGGGTGGGAAACTGACCATCCTGACTGATGGTTTTTGAAGTTCTTCTCAGCCATTCCAGGAAAATGCTGGGGAAAATGCCTTAAAGTGGGTCAGTACCACATTATCTAATGGCACTTACTAGTTTCTTAAAAAGAATAATGCGCTGAATTACCCTGTAATGGTAATTATTTTAGTGTTGCATTATATATATATAGTTGATAGGTGTGCATGGATATAAATTGTTATAATGTATGTGATGTCCAGTACAAGATTTCATTTAAATGTGTTGGATGCTTTCAGTATGATGCATGTAGATGGAGAGATATAACTTTCCCATTAAGTAGGATTTGAGGTTCTCAGGGCAGCGAGTACAAAGATGGCTGTCTTCCGGGTTGTAGCGCCTTGTAGTCAGGTAGAAGTTTACCGTCGTTTCAGAGGTCCTAGCTGTTTCCATCATCAGGGCAGTGAGTGCTGTGGGACTGATAGTGGAGGCAGTATCTCTGAATATTAGTAAACTTCTACCAAGCTACATGACATGACAACCTAGATTATGGCCATCTTCACCATTCCCATTATACATTCACTTTGTGTTTTTGCAAAGAACATACAGTAAACTATGTTAGAAGTGTCTGTCCAAATAAGATGAAAGAATGGAACTTTTTATTCACAATACTATGATTACATTTCTGCAGGTGAGTTCTGGTGGTTCTGGCGGAAGTAGCCGTGGCTCACGCGGTTCATCCAACAAACCACCGCCTGGAGCAGTGAACCTTGAGCGGAGCTATCAGATTTGTCAAGCTGTGATTCAGAACAGCCCCAACAGGGACCAGCTACGTTGCCAGCTGAAGCTACCCCCATCCTTGCTGGCTGCTAATGCCAGTTCTTCCAGTGGTAATAATAAGAAGTCTGAGAATTGTGCCCCGCCTCGGGCTGCCACTCAGTATGGGGTTGTAACATCATCAAGGAATGGAAGTGGACCTGCTAATAACTCTGTTAGTGGCAAGCCATTCACTCCACCTCTACCTGCACCTGGTGGCTATCCTGTGGTACCTGGCAGCAATGGTATTAGTGTGGCAAAGCCAGTGACATCAGTAGGTGGCCAGGGAAAAGTGACTAGCACACGTGGTGGAACTTATATTCAAAGACAGCAGTCACCGCCAGTTGTTGTGCGTCATGTGTTTACTTCTTCTCAAG